TGTTCAAGTTTAAGCATGGAGCTTGCTTAAGAAGGGGACAAAATGTATCCGAGAAAGGACTAATTTTGTAGAAGGTAGAGAGTTGAATTTCCTATGTTTCTGAACCTTCCAGTTCTGCTGTCAGGATCTTTTAAGTGTAAATCAAGGTATCAAATCTATGATACCTTGAAAAACAAAGTCATGCAGACAAACTACAGGAGTGTATGGAGTACTTTTGCATGGAGGTTTGCATAGAGTAGGCACATAGCATCCAACAAGATCTTGTTCATCTTGTTTTGTGGGTTGTAGTTACAGCAAGAAAGTGTATCCTGGAAAGCAGCAGCAGCCTTCCTAAGGACTCATTAAGAATGAAATCAGAAAAAAGCTAGGAGGCTTTTGGGTGAGGTAGATGGAACTGGTTGTTACATTGTATGCTGCTGACCAGGTTGGGGTTACATATTGAATATGTAGTTTTTCTGATGCTTTAACTCTTTTTCTCTCAGCATCATATTGAATATTATTGTAACACTGGTTGAGGCTAAGTTTAAAAACTTTTTAGGGCATCAAAATTGCTAAGCAATATATTGCCCTTCCCTGAAAGAGCCTAAAGTCTGTTCTAATTTAAAGTAATTTATTCTTGTATCATCACTGCCTTTTTATCTTACATAATTATTTTTTACCACTGGAGACTCTTGTGCATATTCATGAGTACAAATCAATCTGCTCTTTTGTTTTCCCAGCAATCCTAATACTCTGCTTGTCACTTTTCCCACTTGAATTTATTTTTATTACATGTTGGCAGTGTAGAGTTGTACATAGTATTTGATATAAAGTCTTCTCAGAGTCTTGTATTACACTAGTAGCTCCTTTCTTTCCCTGGGAACAGTTGTGCTTCAGCCAAAAGCTGCATTTGTCTTTCAGGGTTGCATGGCCTCAGCACTTTGTGGTGCTCCTGAGAGGAAATTCACTTAAGTTTTTCCCTTTATCAGCTTCAGGATGAAGAAGAGGCATCAGAGAACAGTGAAAAAACTGGAAGTAGGAATGTTGTGTTATAGAAACAACTTGTGCATATGACTGTCTGGGATGGGAGTGCCCTGTCCCAGCCAGTTCCAGCCAGACACAGCCAATTCTAGCCGGGCACAGCCGATTCCAGCCGGGCACAGCCGATTCTAGCCGGGCACAGCCGATTCCAGCCGGGCACAGCCGATTCCAGCTGGACACAGCCGGTTCCAGCCAGACACAGCCATATCCAGCTGCCCACCACAGGGCGTGGCTGAGCCACGGTGGAGGCACTGCGGGGAAACATAGGTAAAGAAGGGCAAAAAATGCTGCACAGGAGTGAGGAGAACAAAGTGAAATAAATATCTCTGCAAGCATCAAGTTCAGTGAAAAGGAGGGGGAGAAGCTGCTCCAGGGCATTAGAGCAGATTCACCTGCAGCCCATTGAGGAGGCCCTGAAGGAGCAGGTTTATCCTGAAGGACTGCATCCTGTGGGAAGCACCCACACTAAAGCAGGGGAGAAATCAGAGTAGGAAGAAGCACTGGGAGGAGCTGTTATCGACTGACCACAACCCTGGTTCCCATCCCACTGTGCCCCTCAGGGTGGAGGAGGCCAAGGAGTTGGGAATACAGTGATGTTGAGCCTGGTGCAAAGGAAGAACAGAGAGGGGGGTTTTTTTAGTTTTGTCTCTGTTACCATCTCATTTTTAATTTTAATTGACAAAAAGTAAAATTTCCCCAAGTTGAGTCTGTTTGGCTCATGACAGTAATTGCTAAGGGATTTTCTTGTCTTCATTTTGACCTACAAGGTTTCCATATTATTTTCTCCCTCAGTCCTCCTGCCAAGGGGGAATGAGAGAGCAACTGGGTGAGGGTCTGGTTGCTGGCCAAGGTCAACCCATCACAAGAAGTTATAGCATCAGCTGTACTATCACTATTGTACTACCCATGACAACAAGGAGATGATGTAACACAACGGCTCTGCTCCTGAGAAATATTAAAATATAGGAAAATTTATACCTAGTCTGTCTGAATTGGCAGTCTGAGAATTTGACTTGCAAATACTCGTCGTAAAAGTAGGAAAGAAGTGAAATGAAACACATTAATGAAAGATGTTCTAGTGCTGGTAAAAGACCACAATATTATAAAATTCAGTTGTTAGGTTAACTTGTATTGGTGTGCTCAGAATTGAGGAACTGTCTCCCAGTAGTGGTGCTGGTACTTCAGGAAGATGTGGAAGATGGGTCAGCAGTAGGCATCAAAGCAGAATATGAAAAAGCAATGTTTTTATAAACCCAAAAGTTGTTTTTGATGTAATAAAAGTCTGAATTTAGGAAAACTGTGGTTTGGTTTTATTTTTAAAAATATATATTATATTGTATGTATTATATATATAAATTTAAAAAAGTACTGTCACTCAATCTGGTTTGGTAAGAAAAGTAGAGGGGACCTGTAACTTTGCAAGGCTTCAGCATGTGTTCTGCAGATGCTCAAGTTAAGCAAGCTCATTGGATGTCCTGGCTTGGAGCGTTTCTGAGAGATTACAGTAAGCAGATGATGTACTGTCTTCATGGGGGACACAATTAGAAATACAGAATTTCCAGTGGATGAATACTCCCTAGGAAAAAGTGCCAGCTACACCACTTGTTAAATGGAAGAATCTGAGAAAACTGGGCTTTCCTGGGGAATTGGATAAGTTTTAGTAGTTTTGTTTATTTCAGGCAGTATTTTGGAAAGCAGGCTATTGGAATGCTGTCTTTAGGTGTTATAAATTTAGGTGTACATTCAACCATGCCAATTTCCAAGGAGTGAGAAAAAAGGCATCCCACCTTCATGGCACTGTGTCACAGGGAGTCAGGACACTGGCCAGGGCTGATGGTGTCCTTAAGATCCTGGTACATAAGCTGGAGTAGGTGAATGGTGTAGATGTATGGTGAGGATGTGTGGGGTAGATGACTTCTGTGCAGTAGCTTGGAGGAAAAGTATCTTTCCTGAAGCCTCAGTAATCAGAAATAAGAGCAAGTTAATTTTGGTGAGGTCTCATGCAAATATCACCAGTAAAACCAATTTAAACATCAACTTCTTAGAATTTGGTTATAAAAACCATCATGTGAACAGTGGAGACAGCTGTTATCTGTACTCTAATTATTGACAACTAATTATGGATGGATGAATAATGAATTTGTGATTGCAATGATTAGGGTGCTAATTATTACTGTTAATAGGCTGTTGCCTTATAAAACAGTAGGAAAGTGCAAGTTATTTTGAAAGTTAGTTTTTCTTTTTTATAAGTTGATCTGCTATTGTTGAATTCATCCAACAAGGTTTCCACAGCAATCTTTTATTGGAACATATGCATGGTCACCAGAATCAAAAGAAGGAGTAGTCAAAGATCAAAAAGGTTCACAAGAAGTCTTAGAGATTTCAATTTGTCTAAGATAATTGTGAAAGATAAGAATCTGTGAAAGGTAGTTATGAAAGAGAGAATTTAATGCAGATAGATTGTGAGATAAGTGTGAAAAGGAGAAGGATGTTGCTAGTAAATGGTATTTTTAATTACAGAATCAAGCTAGTTGTAGTTGGTCGAGGTATGTGTCTGTTTTTAAAGTAGCTTCTAATGATAAATACTTATTAAACAGTTTGCCCAAGATTGATTCCCCACCATTTCAGTTCCTGAAATGATAGCTTGGTGTGAGTGATATGCAACATATTTTAAAAATCACAGAAACAACAGGATAAAATGGTCTCTGATGGAAGTGAGAGGTCTCTGATATGAGCTGAACATCATAAAGGTATTCCTGGCCTTAACTCTGACATATGGCCCAATTGTCTTGTTTGCTTTCTTACACAGCAAACAAGACAATTAGGTCTATATGAAAGATATTCTGAGTCAATGTCATGATGAACTGCATTAAAAAGAAATAACTTTGTGAAAATGGAAGCATTTTTTGAAATTAATAATTTAAAAAACTTTCTGATTCAGAACCCACACAAAGACTTGGATAATTGTGAATATGTGTTGTTAAACTACAGACAAAAGGAAAATGTAGGGAAAAGGCGGATTAGTCAAATGCCACCATTTTCTAGTAACAATTTCCTGTAATGATAATGAATTTACTATTTACTGAGTGTATTTTATTGCTCCCTATAGAATGAGTTTACTTAGATAGGTGGGGGATCACTGCTGGATGACACACGGATCTTTGATCAGCATTCAGCTTGAAGATTTTATTTTTAAAAGTGATCCAAAGATTACAGATAATACTTAACAACTACAATTACTATTGTAATGACTTATAATTTATTTAAGAATTTATAATGTACTTAAGAGCATTTATTTTTGTTGAAGTGTGACAGATGTGTACATGGATATATTTGTAAGGTACACATTTGCAAAATGATTGCATCTTGTAAAGGTTTTCTTTATTTTAACTACGTGGCATGGTCAGTCCTGAGTGTACAAGTGGTTGGTGTTACTCTCAGGACAAGCATTCTGTGCCTGAGTGGCACAGGCTTTGGGTGGCTGTGTGGTTGGCTTGGTCAGTGCTGGTCTGCAGAGATGCTCCCTGTGAGGACTGCCACACAAGAAAGATGCAAAAAGGAAAATAAAATTCGGCATGAGGTGCCAGTGTCTCTAGATACCATTTAATTTGAAAACTATTACTGGATTCCAAGTTATAAATGAGATTAAAACCCAAAATAGCGCCGTGGCCCAGTTTGTACCCTGGCGTGTTCAGGGGCTGTTCGTGGGCATGAGGCTGAGTGTGCCGAACTGTCCAGCCCAGGCCCGGCTGCCCTCCCGGTCTCCGCCCGCGCACCGACGCCTCGCGGGGCTGTCCCCCGCCAGCAGGGCCTCGGGTCGAGCGGCGGGATGTGCTCCCGCCCCGGGGCGTGTCACGTTCCTGCGGCGGCAGGAATGCGGCGGGCTCCGGGGACACGAGGTGCCCGCCCCGGCCCGGCCCGCCCGACCGGCGGGGCCAACTGGAATCCAACCGGGCCTCGCGCTCCGCCCGGCGGCCAGTGCGAGCTCCGCGGCGGCCGAGTGACGTGTCCGGGCAGCGGGGCAGCCGCCGGGGCTCCGGCGGAGCGGGCCGTGCCGGGCCGGGTCGGGCGGCGGCCGCCTCGGAGCGTTTGGCGGCGCCTCCGGCCGCGGCGGAGGAGGTGGGTGTTCGCTTCAGCCGGGGTCTTGCTCCGGTGTTGTCACGGAAAGTTTGGTCCGCGGAGGGTGGGCTCGGTGTTTGGTGCGGAGACGCCCTTCGGGGGCGAGGGCTGCCTCGCTGGGGCTGCGGGGCCCGGGGCGGCAGCCGCTGGACACCGCCGCGGGGCAGGAGGGCAGACGCGTGCTGTGAGATTGTCATTGAATAGGCTTTGCCCGTGCGAGGTGGGTCACTGAAGCGAGCATGCGAGGGGTCCGTAAAACGCCTTGGCCAAACTTCTCGCTGCTGAACTGTGGTGAAGTTTTCTTCCGCGAGGTTTTCGCGGGGGGTTTCTCGCGTGTGCGCTGCTTCGTGTTCCGCGGTGTGGGGAGCCGCCAGCTCCAGCTTCCCTCCCCTCTCCATCAGCCACGGACACGGCTATGGAAAATAGAGCTCCCGTGGAAGCTGGAGTTCCTTTCCTTCCCCGTTCTTGAACGCTGGTGTCAACCAGTTTTTTAGTTGGCATCTGCAATTAAATTAGTTATCTTGACAGAGGGCAAAAATACTTATTCACAATAACGCTGTCCTCTTATGTATTTTTTAATTTGGTTTATTTGTAATTAACGGTGCAACTATTGAAGAAGTTACATAGTTGTTTGTGGTGATCCCAGACCATGCAATTGCTTTTGCAAGATGCCCTGCGCTTACCGAGTGAAGTAAGAAGAGCTTTAAAAGATTGCCCAGTCATGCACTGGACGGGTGAGTGAGCAAGCTGTGTCAGTAGGAAGTACCAAGTGCTTGGAAAGGCAGCTGCTAATAATTTGACCACAGCAAAGGGGCATTTTAAAGATTTTTAGGCGTTGCTTGTATTTTTGGCCAAAACAATTTTATCCATCCTAAATTCTGTCATCTCTCATTTACACATTTCTTCAATCCTTCAATCATTCCTTCTTTTTTTTTTTTCTTTCTTTCACAAAGATCCTAAGATCATGGCTTTTACCTTGAGCTAGCAGGTTTTAAGTTGTTTAATTGAAATGTAAAAAGCATCTTTTTGTTTCAGTCTTGCAGTTTAACTGTTAGCATAAAAAGGTGTAGAGTTGGGGTCTTTTTTTCATGAGTCAGGAAATAAAAGTTATTGCTTAAAAACTGTTTCATGCTGAATAAATACAGTGAGATTCTACCAACACGTGTTAGTTTGTGGCTATTTTTATTGTAAATAAAATACTTTTTTCCTAAAGCCTTCACTCTGGTGAACCCCAGTGAGCAATCTGTTCTGTAGCAGAAATGAAGTACAACTTTTTTTAAATTTTCTGCTCGCACTCAGGAGACACAGGTTTATTGCCTGAATGTGTGGACATGTTTGCTGCCTACAACTTCAAGCCCATTATTCAGGCAGAGGTTCTGGCTGTTCAGCTGTTTTCTTCAATGCACCCTTCATTCTTTTCACTTGGGTGATCTGTTTGATCTTGATAATCTGTCTGACTTGCTTTGTTTAATCCATCTTGTCTTTTTTTTTTTTTTTTCTCCTCACCCTCAGGCTTAGTATTCCAGAACTAGTTACATGTGTTTATCTGGTTATGAACAGTAGTTCTTTAGGTACTACCTTGAAATCTGATATTTCTAGAAGCTTTACAGTGAGATTTCATGTATATATTCCATGGATTCCTTAGATTACCTGTGGCATTGTACATGAGATGTGACACTGAGTGGTGGCAGGTGTCTTGTGATGGTACTGGGTTTCCAGTGTGTGGGGCTTCTGAGGCTGATACCCACAGATGGAAGTTGTAGGAGAAAGGACCATGGAAGCAGACTGACACTTGAGCAATGGGCTGTCCATCATCTCCTGCTGAATGTCAGGACCTGGCAGCGTCCTGTGGGTTGGTCTTGAGGAACTGGTATGCCACAGGATTTGGAGAGGAGCCCCAGTGCTGTGTGATGGGTGTGTGCAGTCTGGCATTGCAGCTCTGAGATGTGGGAGCCAAATGTGCGAGTCTTGTGCTATTGGCTCTGACGGGACAGTTACGAGCACACTACAGTACTGAAAAGGGGCTTGCCTCCTTCCCTCCATGCTGAGGAGCTCTCTTTGACCCTGAGCTGTGCTAATGCTTAGCAGATAGGCTATGATTTCACTCATCAGTGGGCAGCAAAAATCCTTTCCCATACTGGAATACTGTAAAACAAACTTCATCTTGCCAGGCTGGGCTGGATGGGGCTCTGAGCAACCTGGCCTCATGGAAAGTGTCCCTGCCTCCTGCAGGGCAAGGGGGTTGGAACCTGGATGATTTTTAAGGTCCCTTTCAAACCAAACCATTCTATAATTCTCTGAAGAAATCTCAACAGCAGAGGAGTTCTTCAGTTGATTATGAGCTGTTTAGGAATCACTGCATAGTTTATACATTTGAAGGAAGACAACAAACCTGAAAGGCTATTGTTAAACTTCATAATTGTTAATGGAATTTAATGCAATTGGGAATAGTACATTGCTTATTTGTTAAACAGGAAGTCTATTAACTGCTTCTATATGAATTAGAAATTATTTTTAGCATCTGATGTAGAAAATTTATAAACTTCAGTCTATTTCTGAAGCAGTCAGGAAGCAAAAGCTGCAGTCCAGAAGGAGGAGGACCAGTTTTGATTCAGAATTTCAGACTGAACTTTATATGTTGTGTCAGTTTATTTGTGCATCTGTAGTACACTGTTCTCAATTTTGTACGTGATGGAGAAATGAGCTATGTGAGGTACTTATTTTCTTTAATTTACATTTTAAAGGTGGGGGGCAGTATATAGGACCATAATTTTTTTTCTGCTTTTCTACAGTGACTTCTATTTCACTTTTTTCTTTATGTATTTCCATTTTACAGTTTTACTTTAGAATGTTAGAAGGGATCCCACGGGGTTGTTGTATGGTCTCTAAAAGGTATTTTTTAAACTACCTTTCTGTAAGTTCAGCTCCCTGAGGGTTTTTTGAGCTGTAAGTGCATTTCTGGACTATCCTTGGATGTATCTTGTGGAATATCTATTGCAGCAGTTGTACCTTAGAGAAACTTCCTTTGGAGTTACAGTGTTCAACGCTGTGAATGCAATTGCTCTTACTTTAACATTTTGTATGTTAAAATGAAACTATAAATGAGGTTTCATTGGTAGTGGTATGAATTAATCCTTCTTTTTTTGTGTATTTGACAACATGTGAGGGAGGCATTTTTCATATCTAAGATCATATTTTGTTAAAATCAGCATTTATGACTGATACTTTTCCCTCACTCCCATTCATTTTAATACAACGTCATTCTTGTTATTACATCTGTTAGTGGAAAATTAATATTGGTAAATTAATTTTTGAATCTAGAAGTAGTTTAGTGAGTAGAAAAACTGCAAACCTGGATGCTTGGAAATTTTCAGAGATTGGTTCATAAACTGAAGCCTGAGAATTACTTAGGGGAGACTTTGGGAGTATCATGACAAAGAGAATCTCTTTATTAGAGGGAGGTGGGAGGTACATGAGCAAGGTAAGCCAGAATTCTCATTGTGGACCTATACAACATGTTATTTTTGTTTGCAAATCTTTCTCAGTAATGTCACTGTACATGTGTGTGTGTGGTTTGCAGAGCAGAATATTGTGACTCAAGTTCTGTCACATATCTATGGAAGAAAATGCTGCATTATTATTAGCATCTTTTGAGATTTTCATCTGTTGGACATTTTCTTATTGTAAAGAATCTTGAGTTTTACTTGCACCAAAATAATGCAGGTTATTTAGAAACCAGGAATATGTAAAAGTAGAACTTGTTTTTAAGGGAGTGATGACAAGTAATGCTAAACAATAGTTGAAAAATATGTTTTCAAACTTGTGTTTTTAGATCAAAAACGTGATTCATGTTTATTCTGAAATGCCTGAATCAGCAAGACTGTGGGAAGTGATGCATAACTCCACAGCATTGATTATGTCCTACATGTTCACTGCTCAGTCAGGAAGCCTGAAGCTTAATGTCAAATGCGTGGGTGAAGCAGTTAAGCAGAGCAAAATAAATTGTTCTACTTATGTGCTGCTGAATAGGGGCATTATCTTGGGAAAATCTGTTTCAGTGACTTACTGTACTGTACAATACTTGTTACTTGGGACTGAACCATGAATGTGAACTGTTAGGATCCAAGCTCAAGGTCAAACACTCTTGTTTCTCTTCTGTAATCCCTTGTTTCTGGAAATGTGTTTAAAAAATCACAGAAATTGTATGAATTTTTTTTTTCCTTAAAGATACAGACTGTGCATCTCAAAAACTTCCAAGAAAGAGGGTAAATGTTATTTCCTCATCTGTAAAATGGGCTAGTAACATACTGAGAAGTAGATGGCAATATTTAGATTTCCTGGTAGGATCACAGTGAGTCTTGAGCTTATGTCTCTTTTTTTTATATTTTTCACTTTTCTAAAGCATTCTCAGTCTCATCTTCAGTGTCTTTTTAGAATTGCATGCTTAATATTCAATATTGTTGCAAACAATGGATTGATTAATTTGAGTTTTAAAAACTTCACTTTGAGATTGTAGGAGGTTGAGAGGAAAGATATCTACTAGATAATTTTCAAATCAAGGAAAGAGTGAAGACTGCTGATGTTTGGACTAGATGCAGGACTTACACTTCTGTGGGATTCTAGCTTCCGTTATACATTTTTTGAAGACAAGGGCTGTTCTTTGCAGGTGCTATTACTATTTTTATTTCTTCCTATCATTAATGATTTAACAGCTGCATTACCTGATTTCTGATTTATTTGAATAAAATTTTGGTGTTAGAAAATGAATGAAAATGGTGTTATTTTTCTAGAGCATACATTTAAACTTTGTTATTAGAAATGTATTTCCATATTTTACTCCATATATTTTTGAAACTTAGTAATAAGACTCTATTTATAGTCTTAATAACTTTAGTCATCAGATGAAACACATTTGTTCAACTGGATGATTTTCTAATGATCAGATAGAATGAGTTGTCCTTGATGAGAGACAGCATGGTTACTTTTCCAAGGATACTAGT